TTGCTCATAGAATCTTTCAATATTGCAACTCAAGGCTTATATTTTTCTTCAGTTCTTTCAGCTTGAGAAATGCTGAGCATGTTCTTCCCTTTTGGTTTTCTAACTCCAGGTCTTTGCACATTTCATTATATTAATTGGCTTTGTCTGCTCGAGCTACTCTTTGAAATCATCTGTTCAGCTCTTTTATCTTGTCATTTCTTCCATTTGCTTTAGCTGCTCTTCGTTCAAGGGCAAGTTTCAGAGTCTCTTCTGACATCCATTTTGGTCTTTTCTTTCTTTCTCGTATTTTTAATAACTTCTTGCTTTCGTCATGTATGAGGCTCTTGATGTCATCCCACAATTCTTCTGGTTTTTGGTTATTGGTGTTTAATGCATCAAATCTATTCTTTAGATGGTCTCTGAATTCAGGAGCGATATGTTTAAGGTCATATTTTGGCTCTTGTGGACTTTTTTTAATTGTCTTCAACTGCAAGTTGAACTTGCATATGAACAGTTGATGGTCTGTTCCACAATCAGCCTCTGGCCTTGTTTTGGCTGAAGTTATTGAGCTTTTCCATCTCTTTTTGCCACAGATGTAGTCAGTGTGATTCCTGTGTACTCCATGTGGTGAAGTCCACATGTATAGCTGCCGTTTGTGTTGTTGAAAAAAGGTATTTGTAATGAATAATTTATTGGTCTTGCAAAATTCTAGTATGCGATCTCCAGTGTTATTTCTGTCACCAAAGCCAAATTTTCCAACTACCAGTGCTGCTTCTTTGTTTCCAACTTGTGCATTCCAATCACCAGTGATGAGCAGCACATCTTGATTGCATGTTTGGTCAATTTCAGACTGCAGAAATTGATAAAAATCTTCAATTTCCTCATCTTTGGCTTTGGTGGTTGGTGCGTAAATTTGAATAATAGTAATATCAATAGGTCTTCCTTGTAGGCATATGGATATTATCCTATCACTGTGCAAAAACATCAAGGAGGCCACATGTTCTGACCTCCTAGAACCCCACAAGAGGAAGGCAGAATCACCAACAATAGCCCAAGGCCTATTACTGCAAAGCCGGACATGCTGCCTCCCTCCAGCCCTTTCACCAACCGTTCCTCCCAAAGCACCCACCACCTCTCTCCTGGGTTTGATAATTCGCTGCAGTGGCCACACAGAACTCACGGATTATGGGGTTTATTAGGGAAGCAGCAGGCTACAACTCAAGTGCAGGAAGAACGCTCAGTCTCTCTCCCAACCCACCGTCCCTCAGCCAACAGTCTCTCACAGTCTCTTTCCCAGCAGTGCTGGTCCCTCGGTGTCTCACTCAGCGATGCGTGTCTCTTGCGTCTCTCTCCCAGCAGCACGTGTCTCTTCCAGTAGCACGTGTCTCTTTCAGCAGCACGTCTTCTTCAACCAGCAGTCAGAGAGAGTTCTGCCTCTAGGAGGCCTCCTTTTGAGCCCGGCAGGGTGGTCAAACTAGCCAATCATAGCATCAGAACTCTAAGCACCTGAGAGAGAGTGGGCACCTCCCAGAACATTGTTTTGTGCCACTCCCAACAGAAATACTCCAGGTGGACACCTTCAGCAATTAGGAGCTGCTCAGTTGCTCATAGCAAATTCCACCTTGGAGGTTACAAAGACTTGTGGGTAGAAAAGCCACACTAAGTAATTTACTACACTGCACACTGACAGCATTGTACTTCAGGCAGATCTTGAAACATCCTTTGTGATGCTGAATGCCACGCCATTCTTCAATTTGTCATTCCCGGCATAGTAGATCACATGGTTGTCTGATTCAAAATGCCCCAAACCCGTCCATTTCAGCTCACTAATGCCTAGGATATCAATCTTTATGCATTCCATTTCATTTTTGACAACTTCCAATTTTCCTACATTCATACTTCGTACATTCCATGTTCCAGTTATTAATGGTTGTTTGCAGCTATTTCTCCTCAATTTGAGTCATGCCATGTCAGCACATGGAGGTCCTGAAAGACTTAACTTTATCCATATCATTAAGGTTGGTTCTCCTCTGATGAGGCAGCTCTTTCCCAGCCCTGTTTTGAGTGCCTTCCAACCCAAGGGACTCATCTTCCTGCACTGTGTCAGACAATGTTTCCGAGCTATTCATAAAGTTGTGCAGTAATGTATCAGACAATGTTTCTCTGCTATTCATAAGGTTTTCCCTGGCCAGTTTTTGAGAAGTAGATGGCTTCCTCCTTCTTGCTAGTCTGACTTAGTCCATAAGTTGCATTAAAACCTGTACACCATGTGCAACTCTGCTGGTGTCTGAAACACCAGTGGCACAGCCTCAAGCCTCACAGCAATGTACAAGCCCCACAGGATGACAACTGACTGACCAGTTTGTCTCCCTTAGCTGTTGGAAACCTCTGTGCCCTCCCCTTACCTAATTCATACCTAGAACCTGCCACTTGGTGGTCCCTGGCTGCTCCCTCCCTTTCCTGTTTCTAGGGGGTTGGGTCCTAGCCTTGCCTCCCTCCACTTTACCTGGATATCCTGCCACTCCTGAGGTCCCCACCCTCTCTCGCTCCCTCCTTTTCCTGGCTCTAGGGGGCTTAGGCCTAGTCCTGCCTCCTGCCCCTTTTTACCTGGATATCCTGCTGCTCTGCAGGTCCCCCGTCTCTCCTGCTCCCTTCCTTTCCTGGCGCTAGCGGGCTTGGGGCCTAGCCATGCCTCCCGCTCCTTTTTAGGTGGATATCCTGCCACTCTGGAGGTCCTCAGCCTCTCCTGCTCCCTCCCTTTCCTGCCTCTAAGGGGCTAGATTGCCTATTCTAGATTGTTCATATAAATAGGATCAGGACTTATTTATCCTTTTGACTGAGTAATATTCTGTTGTATGCATTTTGTTTATCCATGCGTGTATTGTTGGACACTTGGGTTGTTTCCATCTCTGGCTATTGTGAATAATGCTGCAAAGAACATAAGGTTTTCATGAGTCAGAATGGACTCAATGACAGTGGGTTTGGTGAGTGGGTAACATTTATGTAATCATTTGTTTGAGTCCCTGATTTTAAGAATTTGAGGTAAATACCTAGGAGTGGTATTGAGAGTCAACTTCTTTTAGGACAAGCAAGCAGCATAGTACTGCATTTGAGAACAAACTCTGTAGCTACAAAATAGAAAATGAAAGGTCTGGGACAACCCTGTAGAAGTGGGACCAGTTAAGGGACTAATGCTACGGTACAGGTGTGAGGTGATGCAATAAGGTAGAGGCCGAGCAGATGGAGGAAATGATTTGAGATTTGAAACATTATCAGGATAAAATCTGTAGGTTTTGTGGCCATATGAAAGAGATGAGTGAGAGAAAGGACTAGGGTGACATTTAGGCTTCTTGTTTGTCTGGTTAAGGATGGTAGGAGGATGATCAAGATGGGGATGAGGAAGTTCAAGTTAATATTTTAGGTATGTTAAATTGGGAGCTTGAGGGATATTGGAGTGGTGATATCTTGGTGAGAGCAGGGATTTGGGAATCGTCAGTGCACAGACAGTGGGAATAGCAGTGCCTGTAGGTAAGATTGCTCATGAAAAGTCTGGAGTAAGAAGAGGACATTGGTGTCAGTACTCAGTGGAACAACTAGACTTGGGAGTAGTAGAGGCTGAGAAGGATTTGAGGAATGGAATCATAATTAGGAAGGAATGGGAAAAAGGAGTTTTAAGATGGATTGAATGTGTGTGTCTATCAGCAAGTCTGCTGGGGCTGCATAGTGTTTGAGAACACAGAACCCTATTAAATTCACATTGGTACTTATTCATTGCAGGTGGCAGACGTTAATTGGTGGACTTTTGCTTCATGTGTCATGGAAACTGGGCTGGGTGGAAATCAACCACAATTCAAGGTATATCAAACTCTTCCCTGCATGATTCATGATTTGTACTCTGCTTGTTTTTATGTTACTTATTTATTATTTATAGTGTTATATTGGAAAATATGAATGTTTGAGCTATTTGCTCTGTTAATTCTCTTCTCCGTTCATTCTCACTACTTGAGTTTCAAGTAGTGTTTTCCTGGTTAATAATGCTGGGTTAATATAACATATAATATTAAAATTAACTAAGATATGTAATTTATTGTGTCATATTAATTTGGCTTTGTTTTAGAATATAGGATCACTATGAATGAGTTATTAAAAGAGTTTTAAAATTTTTTTGTACGTTTTTATTTTGAAAGTACTTCTGACTTCCAGAAAAGTTTGCATAGGACAAAGAACTCCCATGCCTATATTCAGATTCCCCAGTTATTGTTTTACCACATTCCCTCTATCATTTTATCTTGATATATACGTGTATTATTTTGTTCTGAAATATTTGAGAGTACGTTGCAGAGAAGATGCCTTTTTAAATATTTTAGTGTTTATTTCCTATGAGCAAGAACAGTCTCTGTTATTACAGTACAATTATCAAAATCAGGAAATTCACATTGACACATTAATGTTATTTCATCTACAGACCATATTCCTATTTTGCCAATTGTCTCAATAATATCCTTTTTAGCTCTCCCTAGAAAATTCTAGTCTGGGATCCAACCCATTTGCACAATATATTAGTTGTTATGATTCTATTAGAATAGTTTTAAAATAATTCTCAAAGGTCATGATATTTTCATCCAAGATGATCCTTAGAATTGGTTATCCATTCCTGCCCATCGTAAATAAATCCTTCTGCTTCTTTGAGAACATCATGCCTAACTTGAAATGATGCACAATTAAGTTAAGGTTTATATGAATAAGGCGAACATTCTAAAGAAATGATCAGGCCAAGTTATTTACCATGAGGTCCAAATTATGCTGCCCAACTCCTCTATTAATATGATTAACTGGTTAATTGCTAAGTTACCCCTTTGCTTAGGATTCATACATGTCCATTGTGAATACTAATAACTTTGGCTTCTCCTGAAAATATAAAATGGGAGGGCAAAAAATTAGTTGTTGTTGTTGTTGTTGTTGTTATGTGCCATCGAGTCAAACCTGACTCATAGCGACCCCTCCTTGGGTTTCCAAGGCAGTATCATTACGGAAGTAGAATTGCCCAACCTTCCTTCCGAGGAGTGGCTGGTGGGTTTGAACCGCCAGCCTTCTGGTTAGCAAGCAGGAAGAGGTTTTAGGAAGGAGTGGCCCTGAAGATACAGGTGTGGGTTGATTACCTGACCATGTTATATCATAATTCATGTTCTGAAAGTGCTAGTGTTTCATACAAGATGCTTAATTGATCCAAAAGTCATAATTGTATGTATTTATGGTATAATGTCCTCAACTTGATAAAATAAACACAGTTTTTTTTAAATTGGCTATTTTTTTTTTAAACTTGTTATTGTGATTTGGGTGAAAGTTTACAGAGCAAGTTTAACTTTTCATTCAACAATTCATATATGTTTTGTTTCATGACATTAATTGCAATCCTCATAATATAACAGCCCTATTCCTACTTCCTGTCTGTGTTTATCATTTCCATTCATTGTGCTTTCTTATTACTTCCTGCCTTCTGAGCTTTATCCCTGGGTTCTGTGTAGTAAATTACATAGTGTGGCTTTCTTTGCCATAAGTCCTTGTAAACTCTGTGGTGGAATTTGCTGCGAGCAACTGAGTAGCTCCTGATTGTTAAAGTTATCTACCTGGGGTATTTCTGTTGGGAGCAACATGAAGTAATTTTCTGGAAAGTTCCCTCTCTCTCAGGTGTGTAGAACTCTGATGTTGGAATTGGTTGGTTTGGGCCACTCTGCCAGGCTTGAAAGGAGCCCTCCTGCAGGCAAAAGGAGTCTCTCACTGCTGGCTAAGAGATGCGAGAGACACCCATTGCTGATAGAGAGATGGCAAAAGACATGTACTGCTGAGAGAGAGCTCGAGAGACCTTGAGAGACACACACTGCTGAGAGAGACTGAGAGAGACTGTCAACTGAGAGACAGCAGGCTGAGAGAGACTGAGAGTGTTCCTGAACTTGAATTGTAGTCTCTTGCTCCCCTAATAAACCTCATAATCTGTGAGTTCTGTGTGGCTACTGCAGTGAATTATCGAACCCAGCAGAGAGGTGGTGGGTGTTGCAGGAGCAACGGTTGGTATCAGGGTTGGTGAAAGGGCTGGAGGGAGGCAGCATGTCTGGCCTTGTAGGAATAGGCCTTGGGCTACTGATGGTGATTCTGTCTTCCTCTTGTGGGGTTAGAGGAGGTCAGAAGATGTGGCCTCCTTACCCCTTTGGCACTGGGTAAATGTTGCCCTTTCGATCTTCTGTGGTTGGTTGTTGTATGGGTGTGTATCTCCTTGATGTTTTTGTTGACTGTATAGGCCTATCTGTCTTTTGGCTGAAAGTAGAGCCACAGGGGTGAGTTTGGTTCCAGACTTGAAGGTTGTCTAAGGACCATAGTCTTGAGGATTCTGCCAGTCCCTATCAGACTTGGTCTTTTTTTTTTTCACTTTGAGTTTTGTTCCACATTTTTTCCTACTCTGTCCAGTACCTTCTATTGTGATCCCTTTCAGAGGGGTTGGCATTGGTAGCTGAGAACCATCTAGTTCTTCTGGTCTCAAGGTCATGGAGGCTGGGGTTCGTGTGGTCCATTAGTCCTAATTGTTTCCATACATTTTTTATTTGCTTCACTTTTTTTTTGCTCTAGATGGAGGGAGACCAATAATAGCACCTTAGATGGCAAAATAAAGATATTTTGGCGGTTTTATATGTGATAATAAGTGTAGATGTCACTTTATACTCTGTTGTTGTGGTGCATATTTCTGTGAGTACTAGGGCTTCATTTATACAAAAAGGAGCCCTGCATTCACTAGGCCTGTGATAGTTCCAGTATTTAGTTAAATCATGAAGCACTCTGACTCCAAATGATTGAACTTAGTCCTCCACAGGAAATGGAGGTTGAACTAGGATGAGGGAATAGGCTGTCTTATTTTGGGTTGGAGTCCACTGGCTCTGATCAATATGGGTCTCCCACTCTTAGAGTGTATTCACTTTGTAATTATAATTTCTGATGTAAATTATTCACTGATTAAAATTTACCTTTCTCATGTTTCCTCCCATTCTTTATACTTCTGTTGACTTTTTGTTTGTTTTGGTACGGATCAGTAGAATTGGGTGAAGTGAGAAGTAAAATGATGAATCTCTGGAAAAAGTGTTTTCTTCTGTAGACGTTTGGGACCCACTAGACATTGTTGTCTCTTGAGCTCTTTTGATGCTAGATTCTGCCTATCTCAGAAGATTGATGATCACATCTCTGTCAGTACCCTTGCTAAACTTTCTAGAGTTCTTTTCACCTCCATCTCCTGGACTTCCCTGGATGGTTTCATAGCCACACACATCATGTCAGCTCATATAAGCATCTTGTCACAGATGCCAGTGTCTGGGTTTTTTGTATATCTTGGGGTTAAAAACTATTGTACAGCTCAGAATTTCTAGTTGCCATGGACCCTTGGCAAAGAGATGTAACCAGATGACAGCAGCAAGGCCCCCAACCAGTGTTCTTTCGTGTGAGCCCAGGCTGGATTTGTGTTTGCCCAGTCTGCTGTTTCCTTCTGAGCTTGGCTTTTTGATTATGTTATTAGGGAACTGAAATATAGCTACTCTGTGTACTTGTACAGAGATAGCAGAGGTTTGACTCTGCTAAACATTTAAACAACAGCAGGAAGATAGTCTGAAGGCTGTGGAGACGTGGTTATTATGATGGGGCTGGAGGATGGGTCTCATATAGCATATGCCACAGAGAATGTGTTTAGACTGCTTTTATAATCTGGAGCATGGCAGGATCACAAATTCCCTCTCAAACTAGTCACAATTTGGCAACACACTTGCTATGTTGCACAGAGGCCATATATGCCGTGCCTGTCATTCTCTGGCCACGTCATATGACTCCACAAAAGTGATCCGAATGAGTCATTGTTTGCCGGGTTATTGGTTGTTTCTACCCAATATTGGACAGTGCCCTTGAAACCTTCTGTCTTGGGAAAGATAGCACTATTTCTCAGCCACAAGTTTGTTAATTATATGGCAGCTACTGCTGTGACCAAGCCATTGCAGAATGGTAGAGGTGAGTTTTCTAGCAGATGTCGAAGTCCTTTGCTCAAGTCTTCAAGTGTTTCCAAAATGTGATCCTAAAAGAACATTGTGACCTATTTTATCTGACTGGGTGTTGCTTGGCATAGTGGTTAAAGCATTTGTCTGCTAAACAAAAGGTTGGCAGCTCAAATCCATTAGTTGCTCTGTGGAAGAAAGATAACGCAATTTGTTTCCATAAGGATTTGCAGCCTTAGAAACCATATTGGGTGTTTCTGCTCTGTCCTAAAGGGTTGCTGTGGGTCAGAATCGACTCAATTGCAGTGGGATTTTTGGTGTAGGTGTCACCCACACAGTGCGACCGTGGTGCTCTTTATTGGATTCTCTGAAGACACTCATGAGGCTTCAGTCCTGCACTTCCTGTATTGCCAAGCTACATGTTTACACGCAAACATGTTGGAAGCAATTTTTAAGCTACTTGCTACTTTTTGTCCGTTATAAATAAGGTAGCAAAATTTTAAATCTCAAAAAATGTTTTTAATTATAATTTGTTTTTAATTTTTTTATATAGAGTTTATTTTTTAGAGCAGTTTCAGGTTTATAGAAAAATCATTCAGAAAGTACAGAGGGTTCCCATATATACACTGTTGTGCCCGTTTCCTTCGCACACTGTTTCTCTGATTACTAGCATCTTTTAGCATTTCAGTGGTATGTTTGTTACAACTGATGAACTGATACTGATACATTCTTATCAACTAAAGCGTATAGTTTACTTCAGGGTTCACTCTGCATGTTGTACAGCCCTATGGGTTTTGATAAATGCATAATGTCATGTGTCTACCATTGCAGTAT